GAGCACCTGCAGTAGCCTGCTGCGAAAAGCATAATCGCGCCAATTCCCTGCTGTTCACGGTTATTGTGCGTTTTTGCTGTCCAGTGCTATAGCGCTGCTACAGTCAGCAAAAACACACATTGGCAAGAGGTTGTCTGTGCGTGTATGTGTTTTTGGGCGTTTGTGTGTTCGCATTTTTTGTCACCAAATTCGGGAACCAGAAAAGCTAAGAAGCTGGGACTTCGACAGTATGTGCCTACCTCCTGTGCGACCCTCCCATTTTAATATTATCGCTCACATGTATTTGAATCCCACGTACGCAAGCCTCAAAAAATTTGCAAATTTTTTAGTGAAAAAGCGAACTCGGGAACCAGACAAGATGGCAAGTTGAAATTTTAAGGGTATGTTCCCTGTTCATGAGCAACTTAAAGATTTCAAATTCAGCTCCCAGGCGTTCCTGATTCTTAAGTACGGATACGTGATTGGTAGGATAACTGCTAACTCGGGGACCGAAAGAATTGGAAAGCTGAAGTTTTAGGGGAATGCTTCCTGTTTAAGCACAGTTTAAAGATTTAAAATTCAGCCCCCAGATAAGCATGATTCTCACTTACGGCCACAAAAATTTTGGCAGGGAAATTGCTCACTGAACAGCTGAACAGCTGGGTCGTTTTCAAAAAACAGTCGGTAGACGGAAATTATTCATTTTCGCCCATGCAATATATACGATGATTTACGCTAATGAGTGTATCAATAACCATTCACACAGTTGACGACCTGACTGTTCGGAGCGTGGTGCAAAAACTCATGGTCGCATTAGTAGGCTTGGTGCGTTCCAGGCCGGGGTTCATTAATGCTCGTTTACGAATACGAAAACATTTTCGTTTAGAAATGTTGTGCTTAATTACGCTTTTTGCAAACTGCTTATTTTTTAACACCAAAATAACGGGTCGGTTTAAAACTTATTGAAACTGTGGATCAGCAGAATTTACCAACATACTGCCATAGTATCCTTTTTTTTCAGTGAAATCTAACTGTTTCTCAAAAATTACCAAGGTCCTACTTTCTTTTTTACTGAAGAAGAGAGCTCTAAGGCCTAAAAAGCAGTCTAAATCAAAGATTTGCATTAAGCTAACGTTTTAGTTTCTTCTTTCAGAGCTTCCAGAAATAATTTAACTCATTTTTGGCAGACCAGTTTACTTAAAAATAGTTTTAACCTTTTTGTCAAGTAGTTTCAAAAGCAACGACTTTCTAAAAATATTGTTATTTACGAGCAACAATTCATTTGCTAGATGCATCATGTAGATTATGCGTACAATGCTAGGTATGTCTGGAATTTTGGCTCGGTTCGTGGTTAGGATATTCTTGTTAATGGTATTTCTTGTACAGTTGAGTCCTGAAGGTTACTTTGGTCTTGAGCCTGCAACCCTAAATTTAAATTTTTTTTTTTTGATTTCCTTGTAACCAATAACTTAGATTTCTTGATTTCCTTGTAACCAATAACTTAGATCCCAAATCAGTTTCTCGGGTG